CGTTACTAGCATGGATTACCTAATAAAGTGGCCGGTGAGTGTATATTCGTGAATGGTGCGTCAGATGCGCATACGACGAAAAAAACATCCAAAACGTACGAAATTACGGTGCATAACTTTTCGTACGATTTTATATGAACTCATAATGAGAATACACTGCCTCATCTATGGTCATGAGCTTTGGGTCATGACCAAAGAATGACATCCTGGATTCAAGCGGCTGAAATGAGTTTTCTCCGTAGTGTGTCTGGGCTTTCCCTTAGAGATAGGAGGAGGAGCTCAGTCATCCGGGAGGGATTCGGAGTAGAGCCGCTGCTCCTCCACATCGAGAGGAGCCAGCTGAGGTGGCATCTGGTTAGGATGCCTCCTGGACGTCTCCCTGGTGAGGTGTTCCAGGCACGTCCCACCAGGAGGAGGCCCAGGGGGAGACCTAGGACACGCTGGAGAGACTATGTTTCTCAGCTGGCCTGGGAGCGCCTTGGGATTCCCCCGGAGGTGCTGGGCCTCCCTACTGAAGCTGCTACCCCCACGACCTGACCCCAGATAAGAGGAAGAAGACGGATGGGTGGATGATCCAGCACAGTGCATAGAGATAAAGCTTTAAAATGACAGCTCACACTAAAAAGATCTTAAATGACCTGCTTTTACTTTTAGCCTAGCTTTAAATGTTAAGAAATCATGAAGTTTCCCTTTAAAGCCTTTTTTTTTGCTTCTGTTTCCACAGAAACACAGAAGCTTTCAAATATAAGCTACTAATGCTTATGTAAGGTTTTAGAAATATGTTTAGTTTGAATCAAAATATGACTGGGTGTATCTGCCAGTGAGGATTTGTTTCCCAGCCGAGCTCTGCCAAGAAAAAAAAATAAAAATCCTGCAGCGGATTCAGGAGCCAAAAGAGTCGACAGCAGAGAGCAAGTTGTGTTTTTTGCCATTCAGGCACTAAATTGGAAACCAAACGAGAAGCTCTGACTAATAATCAACATGTGGGATTAAAAACAGTCTTACCACCAGCTGTACCCACATAATCCTCACAGACTGTAAACTCTATGATATTTTAGAGCAATTCATAGCCTGTCGGCCATGCTGTTTACACACTTGTTGAAGTATTTATTTAAGTAAAGTCTGACTAATAAAGTTTATTTTTAGGGGCAGATTAATCAACGTTTATTTACAGTAGTGTGAAAATGGGTTTTCTCTCTTCTAGATTTTATTTTTACATATTTATCCAACTGTGGTGTTTCAGAACACCAAGCTAATTCGCATTTTAATAGAAAACATGATAACTGACTGTGTTCTCCGTTAACAGGCTGTAGTGAAGCGTAGGGAATTACTTGGAATGCAGTTTCTGGAGGTCTGGAGGATTTCTGACCCACATATTTGCAGAATATTGAATTATTTATTTTCACAAATCAAAATAGAAGCTCAGAATACAGTAGCAGG